CAGCAGATTTTAGTATTTAAACTTCAACTGGCATTTTTTGAAAGGTTATCTTTTGGCTGTACTTTTTTAGACAAATCATCCGTCTAACTTTCCTTAGTCTTCAGCAAACTTGGATCTTCTTTTCTTTGTTTGTTGTGTCATACTTTAAAAGGATACCTGTAAATTTATTGATGACATAATCTAATAAAAAAAACAGATAGGCCATAGATAGAACAAGGCATCTGTACCTCAGGAAAGCTGCAGATGAGGCCATCATGTCCACAGGGGCTGTGTTGTGTGTCCAGGCTGTAGTTGAGGAAGTAAGCATGGCAGGCATTGACACTGTCCAGGCTGATGTTGTGCTGTGCTTTGATGCAACTCCACAGGTCATGGTTGCTGCACGTGAACTAAAAAGGGTCAAAATTATTGCGAGACTTTTAAATCCAGACCCTCAAAAGCATCATAGTCCAAAACCTCTGCGGCTTCAAACATTGACCCATGACAAGAAAATGGGAATTTGGGAATCCTGTTAATGAAAACTTACAATGTTGACGAAAGCAGAAAGAAAGACGATGATGATGGTGAAGACACCAACCAAGGTGCTGTTTAGTCTAGACTGAACTATTCTCTTAGAGAGTGTCTGCAGAGGCACTGGGAAGATCTGGAGGACAGAAGAATTCCAACAATTAATATTCAGTTTTAATTGAATTAACTGACTTCATTTTCTCAGTCACTGGTTTCCAGTTTGACCATGCTTTTACAGCTCTGTGTAAAAAAGAGGCTCTGCTTTTTTTATATTTAGTTTTTAAAAAAAAAAAGAGCCATGACTCACCGTTATGAAAACCTTCAAGCAGCAGCTCTATTTTTCTCTTCTCAAACCTTTCCCGTTTCTTATGAGTCATCAACAGCAGAAAGAAAACTGATCGACAAAAGGATTTACGGTCTCACTGCAAATCTTATTCGACAAGGCCCACTTTATAGAAACTTGTGGAGGAGATTTTGAAAATTTGCGAACTTATTAACTCCAGAAGAATGTACCAGATGATTACATTAGAGGGAGCGTAACAAAGTAATCAACTGAGCGGCATGCTATTCTGTAACTGTCTTTATTACAGCACAGCGCCCAGTACCCCTGTGTTTACTGAACAGGCACCAAATACGCAGCTGAAGACGTAGAGCAAAAAGAACATCAGCTGCTCCTCACATACAAGGTCTTAAATAATCAGGCCCCATCTTATCTTAATGACCTTGTAGTACCATATCACCCTATTAGAGCACTTCGCTCTTGCTCTGCAGGCCTACTTGTTGTTCCTAGAGTATTTAAAAGTAGAATGGGAGGCAGAGCCTTCAGTTTTCAGGCCCCTCTTCTGTGGAACCAGCTTCCAGTTTGGATTCGGGAGACAGACACTATCTCTACTTTTAAGATTAGGCTTCAAACTTTCCTTTTTGCTAAAGCATATAGTTAGGGCTGGACCAGGTGACCCTGAATCCTCCCTTAGTTATGCTGCAATAGATGTAGGCTGCCGGGGGATTCCCATGATGCATTGAGTTTTTCCTTTCCAGTCACCTTTCTCACTCACTATGTATTAACAGACCTCTCTGTATTGAATCATATCTGTTATTAACCTCTGTCTCTCTTCCACAGGATGTCTTTATCCTCTCTTCCTTCTCTCACCCCAACCGGTCGCAGCAGATGGCCCCGCCCCTCCCTGAGCCTGGTTCTGCCGGAGGTTTCTTCCTGTTAAAAGGGAGTTTTTCCTTCCCACTGTCGCCAAAGTGCTTGCTCATGGTCATATGATTGTTGGGTTTTTCTCTGTTTTCTCTGTATCTATGAAGCGCCTTGAGGCGACTTTTGTTGTGATTTGGCGCTATATAAATAAAATTGAATTGAATTGAATTGAATTGAACTGCTTCTGTTAAAGCACAATCTGTTCTTTGCTAAAGTCCACACCACCGAAAACAAAGGGAGGAAAACAGCTACCTAAACATTGGGAGATTGATAATATTTTACTAAAATACTATTCCTTAAGTTATCCTATGAAATGCAATTTTTTAAAAAATGCTGTGTTAGCTGTTATTTAAAAATGAAAACTCCATAACATTTGACTAGGATAACCATGTGAAATATCTTCAGTTTTTACCTTATATTTAGAGTCACAGGCTTTGTTAAAGGTACAGAGTGTAAAATCGCACTACTAGACGTAAGTAGATTGCAGTCGACTGCGAGTTTTTAAGGATATCCTAAACTTTTCTATGGGTAAACACTGCTGTTAGCCTCTGTTAGCTTCTGTTAGCCTCTGTTAGCTTCTGTTAGCCTCTGTTAGCCTCTGTTAGCTTCTGTTAGCCTCTGTTAGCTGCTAACAAAGGAGCTTGCAAAGAAAAGCGTCTGGACTTCTTTAAGAAGTCTTTCTTAAAGAAGTCCAGACGCTTTTCTTTGCAAGCTCCTTTGTTACCTACGATGACCTGGATGACTGAGAACCTTCACAGACATCTGTTAGCTGCTGTTAGCCTCTGTTAGCTGCTGTTAGCCAATGTGTGGCTGTAATTCGGCTGTCATGAGAGGGAAAGTGGGATTTTTAGGACACTCAAGCCGAACATTAGCTTGTATAATGTTAGCTTAAAACCAGCT